CATACAACTGACTATACCTCAAATTCTGAAGGACCACTCTAAGATGCTGCTCATGCTCCTCCCAGCTGTGGGAGTAGATCAAAATATCATCAATGAAGACTATCACGAACGAATCTAAGTAAGGCATGAACACTCGGTTCATCAAATCCATAAAAGTTGCTGGGGCATTTGTCAACCCGAATGACATCACCAAGAACTCATAATGCCCGTACCGAGTGCGTAAAGCTATCTTAGGAACATCGGATGCCTTAATCCTCAACTGATGGTAGCCATATCTCAAGTCAATCTTCGAAAATACCTTGGCACCCTGAAGCTGATCAAACAAATCATCAATTCTCGACAATAGATACTTATTTTTGATTGTAACCTTGTTCAACTGCTGGTAATCAATACACATTCTCATCGTCTGTCTTTATTCTTAACAAACAACACCGGCACACCCCAAGGCGAAACACTCGGTCTAATGAAACCTTTCTCAAACAAGTCTTGCAACTGCTCCTTCAACTCTTTCAACTCCGGCGGGGCCATACGATATGGCGGGATAGAAATAGGCTGGGTGCCCGGAGCCAAATCAATGCAAAAGTCAATATCCATGTCGGGTGGCATACCCGGCAGATCTGAAGGGAATACCTCAGGAAACTCATGAACAACGGGCACAAAATCAATAGAAGGAACCTCAGCACTAGAATCACGGACATAGGACAAATAGGCTAAAACACCCCTTCTCGACCATACGCTGAGCCTTCATATATGAGATAACACTACGGGTAGAATGACTAAGAGTCCCTCTCCACTCTAAACGAGGTAAACCTGGCAAGGCTAAGGTCACAGTCTTGGCATGACAGTCCAAGATAGCGTGATAAGGTGATAACCAGTCCATCCCTAATATGACATCGAAATCAACCATGTCCAGAACAAGCAAATCTACACGAGTCTCAAGACCCCCAATCGTAACTAGACATGAACGATGGACTCGATCTACCACAATAGAATCACCCGTTGGTGTAGACACATAAACATGAGCACTCAAAGAATCACTAGGCATAACTAGATACGATGCAAAATAAGATGACACATAGGAGTACATAGATCCCGGATCAAATAAAACTGAAGCATCTCTGCTATATACCAGAATAGCACCTGTGATAACTACATCGGAAGCCTCAGCCTCGGGCCTGGCTGGAAGAGCATAACATCAGGGCTGGGCCCCACCACCCTGAACTACATCTCTGGGACGACCTGCTACAAGCTGGCCTCCACCTCTACCGGCCTGAGTTCCACCTCTAATACCTCTACCTCCACCTCTAGCACCTCTACCCCCATGTCTAGCTAGCTGGGCGGGCTGTGGAACACTCAGTGCCTGAACCATGGCACGGGAACCCTGATGCTGAGAGCTACTCAGTGCTCGAGGGCAAAACCTAGCAATGTGACCCATATCACCACAAGTGTAACAAGCCCTCGGCTACTGAGACTGCTGACCTAGACGACCTAAATGACCACCCTGAAAACTCTAAAGCGGCGGTGCACTGACAGGAGCTGGTGGTGTGCTGTAGGACTGTTGGTCGAAATACTGCATATGGGAACCACGACCACCTGAAGCACCGTGAGAAACCTAAAGGGCTGATCGAAAAGGCCTAGGAGGATGGCCTTTACCATACGAATCTCTGCCTCCAGATGAGGTACCACTGAATCGTCCTGAATGACGAGGCCTCTTGTCAGACCCCTGACCACCTCCCTGCGATAGAACCATCTCAACTCTCCTGGCCACATTGGCCGCCTCCTGGAAAGAAATCTCACTCCTAAATCACATATAAGACCTGTACCAGACTCCGGAACCAAAATACGGGCCCGATACCATCAAATTCCAAACATATTTCATTTCCAAAAACTCATATATATTCCAAAAAATAATTTTCTTTAAAAATTTATTTCTCGGGCTTAGGATCTCGGAATTCGATTCCGAGCATACGCCCAAGTCCCATATTTTCCTACGGACCCTCCGGGATCGTCAAATTACGGGTCTGGGTCCGTTTACCCAAAATGTTGACCCGGGGCAACTTAAATTCATTTTAAAAGCAAAATTTATCATTTTTCATATATTTACACATAATGGCTTTTGGATACGTGCTCGGACTGCGCACGCAAATCGGGGTGAGACAGAAAGATGTTTTTAAGGCCTTGAAACACAGAATTTATTTCTAAAATAAGTGATGACCTTTTGGGTCATCATAGATAGAGAGGTTATTTCCAAAGACCCTCAGCTCAGGAAAGCATAAACACCAACATTAATGAAAATATATACAAGAAGAGACAATACTAAAAAGTCACATAAAAGTAAAATAAAAACAACAAGGCAGTAAAGTGATCAACAATGAAAAAAATAACAATTAGTCATAAAACCTACTACCAACAGAAAGCGAGACTACGTGTCAATACTACTGTTATGAACACTCTAGACTACCTACTCTACTACCCTAATTCTCGACCTCCATACCTTCCTATCAAGGATCATGTCCTCGGTCAGCTGAAACTGTGTCATGTCTTGCCTAATCACTTCTCCTCATCTCTTCTTTGATCTACCTCTACCTCTTCGTAGGTCCTACAATGTCACCCTCTCACACCTCCTCACAAGGGCATCTGTGCTTCTCCTCCTCACATGACCAAACCACCTAAGCCGCGCTTTCTGCATCTTGTCCTCAATAGAAGCCACATCCACCTTGTCGCGAATAATCTCATTTCTAATCTTATCTAACCTGGTGTACTTGCACATCCATCTAGACATCGTCATCTCTGCTACCTTCATCTTCTGGACATAAGTAATCTTGACAGGCCAACCCTCAACCTCATACAACATCGTTGGTCTGACCAACATTTATTAATTTATTTTCCTTTCATATTTTATTGTTAATGCACCACGTTTTTCTTACTCCTACAATCATTTTGCAAGCACCCTCAAGGTCCATTAGAGTTTGTATCAAAAACAGGAAAGAGGAACTTTCAAATTATTTCAATTTTTTTTCAATGAAAAAACCATTGAGAATTTTTTATTTTTAGTTTTTGTAAAAATCGAAAAGCTATTCCAGAGGCGTTTTCTAATTTATGCAAAACTGAAAAACTTTTTCTAATTGGAACTCTTTTAGAAAAATAAAATATTTAAAAATATATCGACAAACTCAATCTTTTGTTGCAAACTACCATGAAATAATATAAGCCTTTTCTACAACTATGAACAGGGGTGGAGGGAGAGTGTCACCTACCATTCGGCCCATAAGTAAATATAAAAATTAGCCAATTTATAAAATATTTTTAATATTAGCCAATTAGTTACTTGTAGTAAAAAAATATTAAATTTTTGCTTTCTTTTTTGAGTGGGTATTGTTGGAATAGATTGGATCATCTTAAGGAGTTTAAATCTCGATTTTGGGAAGATTTGGTACAGTTTTGAATTAGTTTGAATTGAAAATTTGAAGTAGAAGATGAACATAGAAAAGGATGATATGTGTATCACACTATGTATCATTTATCTAGCACATATGTATCATATTTGTATCAAAGGTGTATCACGTGTATATCCTATACTTATGTGTGATATACATGTTTGATAAATGTGTCAGCAGAAGAATTTTTTGAATTCGATTTTAACTACGGATTTTGATACCAAATCAGTCTGAATCACCTCCAATCTTCCTCAAATTTTATATATTGACTCATCTATATGTTTCAATGAATTTCAACCATACCAATTGAAAAAGATCCTTTTTTGCTCAGATCATATATATATATATATATATATATATATATATATATATATATATATATATATATTATTACCTTGTTTGCTATCTCATCCATGAAATTTCTTTTCTGTCTTGCATCTAATGTTGTTGATCACGCTTAAAAAAATAAAAGGAGATCTTTGTGTGTGATTCTTAGAGAAAAAGAATCCTTATTTATTTGGGTTTTTAACTTTTGTATGTGCTTGGCTAGTTTTACTGAGTTATTATTATTGTTGGCTAGTTTTGGTAAATCTATAATCAATAACTAGAGTTGGTAAGTTAAGACTTATTTGGGACATTTCCGTAAGATTCCCTATTGTTTTCTAAACTTAGCACTCCTTTTTTGTTTTGTTAAGGAACATAAACTTTTTTTCTTTTAATCACCGAAGAATCATATACAAGCCATTAAAACTTTAGCATGTGCTTTTCTGTTAATGTGCAGTGTGCAGGATGATTGGGTTGAATAATTTTGGGCTTTGATTTTTTGGCGGTCGTGGGCTTGAGCCTAGATTCAGGTAAAAATAGCACGGCATAGTCAGTTTTCGAACTGATCATTCAAAAATAGTCAGCGTTTACGAAGTCAATGAAAAATAGTCATTATTTTGCTGTAATAGAGATCGGTCCAGCATAATATATTGGAGTTCGGTGCACCTGTGTATGAACTCCAGCATATTATGCTGGACCAGTATACTTTGTTGACTCTAGTATAATATATTGGAGACTGGAGCACCGGTTCTCCAAACTCCAGTATATTATACTGGACAATTATACTTGCTGGAACTCCAGTATATTATGCTGAAGTTCTAGTGTACTTATGCTGGAACTCCATCATATTATGCTGGAGTTCCAGCATACTTACCCTGGAACTCCAGTATAATATGCTAGAGTTCAAGCATATGCTGGAACTCCAGCATATTATACTGACGTATTTTTCGAGTTTTGAACAGTGTTTTCGCTCAGATTTATCTTTACTTGAAAAGTGGCTAAATTTCGATTACTTTTGAAACTGGGCTATTTAAACGACCAGTTATAAACCTGGCTATTTTTGAATTTCCTCTGCGGAGGTTTTATTTTTTCTATTATATAGAAGAGCTTGAGTTTCGACATGTCAGTTTCTGGTCATTAAAATTCAGGCTAGGGTCATTTTAGTCATTTGATCTCTTAACTTGCTTTACCTTTCCCTTACGTGTTCAATCCACTCCACCTGGCCTTTACTCCCATAAATGCAACATCAATCTTGAAACTATCCAATTCTTTTATCTCTCTCTTCTTTCTTCATACTTCCAAAATTGCTATTTAGATTTCTTCGGACATTCAAAGAAGTTTCAGCTCCCTTCAAAGATCTTACAATTTCAGGTTTGATCCTCTTTCAATTGATTGTGCAAGGCGTCATCTTTGTTTTTTCTTGAGGTGTTCTTGGTTTATATCACGTACTTCACTGTTATATTATTGACATAATGTTCCAAATTGAAGATGTTAGCATGTTGTTAATAAGTAAAGAATCCTTATTATCAGATACCAAATATGTAAATCTGCAGTAAAAGAAAAATAATGAAAAAATTGAGTATTATGATTTTCTTGGTGTTAGTTCTTTAGCATTTGCAGAGGAGATAAAGGCCTATTATCTCAAGCAGTCAAAACAAATGGTTGGTTCGGGGAAAGCGTAATAGCTAAGCCATGGATTCTTGGTTGGGTCAGAAAAGTTCTTCTCTTTCAGCGATTGTTACACCTTTTTCCCTGTTATTGTAGGATAACTTTGAATCCGAAGTTTGTTCTGTGTTAATGAATTTAGATGTTCTCTCAATTTTGTCCTCCAATAGTTTGGTTTTAAGCACTAATTTATTTTCATTGTATTTCTAATAAATTCAACTTAAAAAAAAGTCTAAAGGTTTTTGTTAATATGAACAAAGGTAAAAGTATTGTTTGAATCTCTATCTGTAGCAAGTCTAAATGTCAGTATGCATGTGAGTTAATAAAAGTAGAGATAAAATTTAAGAAAATAGTATTTGCAGTTGGCATAAAAATACTATAGTAATGTTGCGGAAAAGAAATACGTAGAGACAACGTAAAATGTATCACGATAAAGCTATCCACGATAATAACTACATAAGGAAATTAGTTCATTGGTGTAATGAACATGTGAAAAGGCTAGACTTGTGTTTCTCCTTTTCTTTACTCCAAAGCATCATTTATGCCTGAGCTTTCTTAATTTGTAGTCACAAAAAAGCACACTCATTTATGCCCATGTGCATCAAAGAAATGTTTCCGGCCGTAATTTGCTTCCAAACATCTGAGATATTAAAGGTTACATAATTTGTCTGTGAGGATAGACAATTGCATGTAAAATTATAAAAATTCAGTAGTTGCTGTAGGCAATTTCCTCAAAATCAAATGTTTGTAGTTAGAAGTAGTTCTCTTCTCGACAATGACTATTGAACGTTTTGAAAATTTTGATACACTTCAAGAGACAATAAGGAAGCCTATAACAAGAAAAGAAGTTTAAGCTTATGTATTAAACAACAATAATAAAAAAAAGTTCAAGCTTCAGCATCCTAAAATAAATTAATATATTTTGTATCTATCCTCTTTACTTATCAATAAGACACTAAACAACATAAATGATCGAAACAGAAAAGATTTTGGCTAGAATAAAAATAAACAATTAAATAAAAATACTCAACTCAGATTGTTGGGCCCGTATTGGCACGGGCAATCCATATCTAGTCTTCTCATATTACCACGCTCCTAGTCCAATTCCCCCTTTCACCCATCAATGTCTCCTACTATAGGTTATTCCTTTTAATAAGCATCTTAATTGAAAATAAAGAAAATCCGAAGGGAGCTAATATAGAAGGTTTATGAAGTTGTTTTGATTTTCTTTTTCTTTTTCTTTTTCTTTTTGGTTACTTGGTAGAGGAAGTTCTTTTTCATGTTCTACCCTATACTTGGATCCAAGAAAGATAAAGAAACAAAGTAAAAGAGGGAGAATAGATAGAGCACCAAAAAAAAGGAACACTAGAGTTTTCTCTCCATCTTTCTTCCTTTTCCTTTATAAAATCAAACAATTGAAAGGAAAATCAATATGACATTTCTACTATTTATACGAAAGAATTATAAAAAAAAAATACACGCGAATTCACACCATTATAAAAGTAGCCCATATTTTTAAGTTTTATCTGACCTAGCCCATATTGTATATATTTTGAAATTAAAGCACTAGCAAATTCAAAATCTATGTTCTTACAAACATTGTTCTAAAAGAAATGGAGTTAAATCTGTGTTCTCACAATCATTGCTTTCACTCTCTCTTTTTCTCACATCTTCTATATATGCTTCAAGGGGCCATGTATGTTCTGCTTCTCCCCGTGTGTCACTTGGTTGCAATATAAGAAAATTGAAGAATAAAAGTCCGTCATTGAAGGCCATTCAAAGTTTTGTTTTTGAAAATAGGATTTTGAGTTTTTTAGTTGTTTGGATTGGGTGTTATTCCAATTGATTGAAAATATCAAAAGGTGTTCAAAATTTAAATTTGAAGTGATTTGGAGTAGATTTGAGCAAGATTTGAGTTAAATTTCAGAAAAGACGCAAGGAAGAAGACGAAGTCAGTTTTTTGTATAATTATGTATAATCTTGTATAATAGTGTATATGAGTGTATAAACACATCTTATACACTTTTATACACCATTATACAAGCGTCTGCAGACGAACTTCTCCTATAATTTTCAGTTGCAATTCTTGTTCAAAATCAGTCCAAACCTCCATTAAATGACTTCAAATTTTATATACAACCTCCTTATACTATTTCTAACAAGTTTAAATAGCACCCACTCCAAATTTCTTACAAAATCAAATTCGATATTTAAACCCAAAAATTTAAGCTTAATAAAATCTAATTTTCACCACCAAATGGATTTGGTTTGTTGAACTAATATTTGAGTCACAATTACTGATTTGAAAATTAACTTAAAAGCTTGAACAATCTTTTTAAAAATTAAATAGTAATTTCGAGAACCTATTGGAGTTGGATATTGAATCTTAGCCTATTATTTTTGGGCTAGTTGGTTGTAAATTGAAATATAGGCTATAAAATTAAAAAGTAGGGAGCCCAATTATTCTTATGTGAAATTTTTCCTATTTATATTATGCTCTTGAAAATATTTATTTTAATAAATTGCCAAAAAAAAAAAAGTTTGTCGCTACCAAATAGTAGTAGTATTTTTTCCTTGAGGTGAAAGCGAAGAAATACATAATACTTCCTTCCAAGATTACCAATCATATTGATAAAATCCAATGTAACTTTCTTTGGGGTTCCACCCCAATGCACCGAAAAATTCACCTAGTAAATTGGGAACAAGTTACTTTACCACGTGCACATGGAGGACTAGGCATTCAAAAATCCAAGGGCAAAAATTTATCCCTTATTGCTGGGTTGGTTTGGCGTTTTCTTCGTAATCCAACTCTCTTTAGGCTAGAATAATCACCTCCAAGTACAAATCGACCTCTCTCCTGGCCGCTACTCCCCTTCCAAAGCCACGAGATTCCTCTATGTAACGATCCGGTCAGTCGTTCTGAGAGTAATAACCTCGTTTCCCCCATTTTTGTTTCTTTATGTGTTGTTCAGCTGTGTTGAGTTGTATCGAGTTGGTAGGTTTGGGTTCGGAGTAGTTTTGGAGTGAAATGGTCACTTAGTCTCTTAGTTAGAAAGCTAAGTTAGAAAAGTCAACCGAAAGTTGACTTATGAGTAATCGAATTCGGATTTGGATTTTTATGATTCCATTAGCTTCGTTGGGTGCTTTTAGACTTAGGAGTGTGTTCGAAATATAATTTGGAGGTCCGTGGTAGAATTAGACTTGAATTGGCGAAAGTTGGAAGTTTAGAAGTTCTTAGGCTTGAATACGAGGTTGATTTGGTGTTTTGGTGTTGTTTTGGGTGTTCCGAAGGTTTGACTAAGTTCGAGTAGTGATATATAACTTGTTGGAATTATTGGTTGAGGTTCTAAGATCCTCGGGTGAGTTTCGGATAGGTTTGGGTTATGTTGCGCTCATTTTTCTTAATGTTTCGACGTTATTTCTTTAAGCATAAATAATACTTCATATCGAATAAATGAGCTTAGATTTCTTTTTTGATTGAAGAATTAGATCCATATTGTAATTACGGAACCGTAGCAAAAAAAATCATCGAATTTGGACATCGTATGAGGATTTTATGATCATTTTACTAAGAATTAGGTTGCCAGATTTTTCAATTACGAAATTGCCACTGACGACGTATTAAAAAATCTGCACTATTTGCAAATATTGAAACCAACATATCTCATTCATTATAAGGTCAAATTATATGATTCAAAAGCCTAACTTGACTAGAATTTCACAAGGAATCTATTGGAGGCATAAAAAGTGAGTTTCGGGATCGTTTGGCATGATAAACAAGGCAGAATAGCTGATAGAAAAATATATTAAATAAGGGTTTTTTCATTCCGTCATATTTTGAGTTGGGGAGCTCGGATTTGGGCGGTTTTGGAGGTAATTTTCACCATAGGGATTTGGGTAAGTGTTTTCTACTCGGTTCTGAGAATATTTCCTAAATCCATCTTCATTTTTGGGATTTGATTGGTGATTTCAAAGTGAAATTGAGGAAGTTAGGGCTTGAATTTTGGAGAATCTTAGGTAGGGATTTGAAGGACCAAACGGAGTCCGATTTTGATAAATTTTATATGGTTAGACCAGGAGAGGATGAGGTCTTTGATTCTACCATTGTTGACTGATTTTGAGATGTGGGCCCGGGGGCCGATTTTGGTTTTTTGGCCTATTTTTATAGTTTTTATTGTGGAATTCGATTGTCTAGCCATGTTGATAATATTATTCTGATTATGGTTAGATTTGGAGCTCTTGGAGACGGAGTCGAGGGACGAGGACATCCCGGAGTAGGATTTTACGTTGTTAAGGCAAGTAACAGTTTTAACTCTGGCCTTGAGGATATAAACCTAGAGAATTTGATATCATGTGATTGTTTGGAGGTGATACCCACGCTAGGTGACGGGCGTGTGGGTGTATACCCCGAGGGATTGAGACTTGGTTCGTCCCGTGAGGCCTTATGGCCATTATCTGTGTTATGTAATTACTTGTTGTTAAACTTGTCTGCCTTCATGTTAGAGATCATGCTTAGGCTTTATTCATGCTCATATTATTTATACTCAGTCATAGAAATTTTTGTACATATTTACCTTAGTCTCTATTATTTGATAATATGATGTGATACTTGATGTGGGTTGTGTCCCCTTATTTGTTGATGATGGTGAGGCTAGTGAGGTACATGATTGAGTGAGGCTGAGGGCCTGGTTATGAGAACATTAATACTATAGCGCGTAAGTTGTCTGCGTAGCACGTGAGTTGACCGTGCATATCCAGGTATTGATATGATGGCACGTGAGTTGTCCATGCGGTGCCTGATTGAGTGAGGCCGAGGGCCTGATTGTGAGGATATTAATACCATAGCGCGTGAGTTGTCGGCGTAGCACGTGAGTTGACCGTGTGGTCCAGGTATTGATACCATAGCGCGTGAGTTGTCCGCGTAGCACGTGAGTTGACTGTGCGGATTCAGGTATTGATATGATGGCATATGAGTTGTATGTGCTTAGCGTTTGGGCTTTAGGAGCCCCTCCGGAGTCTGTACATACCCCCAGTGAGCGTAGAGTGTTGAGTGTATTGAGTGTTGAGTGTTGAGTGCTGAGTACAAGTGATGAGTGATGGAGTGACATTGCTGTGAGGTTGCATTTACTTTTGTTGTTGCTACATTTACCTGTT